TTTAAACCGTGTTTGCTTTTGGGTTTAAAAGGTCCCTAACATAAATTTGTTTTTTTTTTTTACACTTTATGATGAGTAAATCTTGTGATTAAATCCAATGCCCATTTGGCTTGATCCGCTGGTACCATGTGGCCAGCGTTTCTAACTAAAACTTCCGTTAAATTTCCTGCATGTTTTTCATATCCGGCGAGTTCACCGTCAACAAACCATTGATGCCTTTTTGCGGTTTTATATGCCTCTGCTCCGCTGAACTTTAAATTTTGCAAAAAGTTTATTGTCAATGGATAAGCTACTATAATATCCAGCTGGCCGTTGTAAAAAAGAATCTGATAATGATTTAATAATTCAATTATCCATGGTGCTACTGACTGCATCATATCTTCCACGAGATTTGTCTCCACCGTTTTATCTTCGTCATTAAATGTGGTATTCCCTACATGGATAGCTGCTCTAACATCAGCTCGTTGTATGTACCTCCCCATATAAGTGATTTCATTGTTTGTATTATTTGCGATAAGATAGTTGAAGTAATTATCAAATCCGGTTATGTTTTTAAATAAAGATGGATGACCACTAAGATCTCCGTTAAGCAAATCATCGAATGTCTTAAACGCTAAATCCCATTTCTTATTTTTTATGTAATTAACACCTTGTTCTTCTATTTTTCTCAACTGACTTTTACTATTCAAATCGATTAATCCCAACTGATATAAATAATCGTCGTAATAAATCTGATTTTCAGGATCACACAAGCCATTTCCAATACTTAATCCACTTAAATTTATTTTGATTTTTGCTGTGGGATTATTTTTATGAATTGTGTATCCTATGGCAGGAACATACTTTCCAGCATACGATTCACCAGCAATAAAAAATTTATTTTTTTGAAGTTCCGGAAATAATTTGAAAAATTGCACAAGAGCTTCATATAAATCGTTTCCTACTGCAGTTTCATTTTTTGCATATCCGCCATTAGTAAAACTGTAACCTGTTCCTACAGGATTATCGATGTATATAACAGAATGAATGCTAGTCCACGTATATCTACGAAGCTTTAAACCATGTTTGCTTTTGGCTGCAAAAGGTCCATTTTCTGCAAATAATCCTATAATAGATGTTGCACCAGGACCTCCTTGAAGCCATAAAATCACTGGATCTTCTTTATAATTATTAAGTGATGGGAAAAACCAAAAAAACATATTCGAATTAAATTGTTTATTCACAGTAAAATACCCCGCATAGCTTGTAATATTCTTGAATCCATTGAAATGAACTTGCGAGGCATTTTGAGCTTCTGCAATTTTATTTTGTTCAATTAACGGTGTTAGTATTAATGGCTGACCAGGATCGCCAATATAATTTTCTTGTTTTATTTTGGGATACACATTTATAAAACAGTTTCCACTCACTATGAACAAGATTATTGTTAATATAAAAAAATAAAATAAACTCATTATTAATGGCGTATCTTATTCCTACACGGTAGGTAACAGAAGCTGTCGAATGCTCTAACTAATAATAAACCGACAATCAATACTTTGAATTGAAACCGTGACTTTCGTTTATCATATTGACTATTAACAGTCTGCTGCTCTTTGACCTTTTTATCATTTAAACAACTAACTCACAACGGTTTATTAATTAACATTTATTAGCCCTTATTGATATATGCACATACATGCGAAAACACTATCACAATAGAACGTCTAACATGTAAAATATTACGTTTGCTTGGAAGGTACATGTTTTAATTTTTTCGAATTTATTTGAATTTTGTTTTGATAATTTTTAATTCATTCCTAAAACTATGAGATCATTTACCTACAGATACAGTTTTCATTAAAACACTCAAAATACAAAAAGAAAAAAGATCAAAATTAAAAAATCCCACAGCATTATCGTCGTTTATTCAGTTTATAAGATTTTTTCTTATAATTATTGGATGTTACCCCATATANATTTAATCAATATAATTAAAAAAATTGTTTCTGAGATACATATTTTTAAAAATATTGTACATATACAGTGCCAGAAGTACCTTTTTATGCTTTCGCGCAGCTGACTTAAAACAGTACTTATGATCGCTTTACTGTGCAGAGCGCGCTGTAAAAGGCAGTATTAGACTAGAGTACCTTTTTTGTACTTTTAAAATATCGTATTAGTTAACTAATATAACATAATTAACTAATTGGTACTCATCTACTATATTTTATCAAATTTCGTAAAAGTTTGTTAAGCCTATTTTGAGAGATCATAAAAATATTAATTTTTTATCTTAGCCTTGCTCTGAAACAAACAAAAGCGTTTCTAGCGTAAATTTATCTGAGCTTTTTACCCTGAATGATCAGTGTACTACTAATATTATATCCTAAAATATTTCCCATTTTCTTAAAATACCCTGTATAAAAATTATAATTAATAAAAATGCAGATGTATTTTTTATATAATTTTATAAATGTCAATCAATTTATTATCGTATCTAACATAAATTTGTTTTTTTTTTTTACACTTTATGATGAGTAAATCTTGTGATTAAATCCAATGCCCATTTGGCTTGATCCGCTGGTACCATGTGGCCAGCGTTTCTAACTAAAACTTCCGTTAAATTTCCTGCATGTTTTTCATATCCGGCGAGTACACCATCAACAAACCATAGGCGCCTTTTTGCGGTTTTATATTCTTCTGCCGCACTGAATTTTAAATTCTGCAAGAAATTTATTGTCAGCGGATAAGCCACTATAATGTCCAGTTGCCCGTTGTAAAAAAGAATTCGATAATGATTTAATAATTCACTTATCCATGGTGTTACCGATTGAAACGCATCTTCAATTAGATTTATTTCCACCATTTGATTAATATCATTGAAAGTAGTGTTCCCTACATGGATAGCTCTCCTAATATCAGCTTGTTGTATATATTTTCCCATGTAGATGAATTTGTCGTCTGTATTATTTGCATTAAGATAGTTATAATAATTATCGAAACCTGTTATGTTTTTGAATAAAGAAGAATGTCCACTAATATCCCCGTCTATGAGATCATCAAATGTCTTAAAAGCTAAATACCATTGCTTATTTTTTATGTAATTGAGTCCTTGTTCTTCTATTTTTCTCAATTGAATTTTACTATTCAAATCGATTAATCCCAACTGATATAAATAATCGTCGTAATAAACCTGATTTTCGGGATCGCAGAATCCATTCCCGATACTCAACCCACTTAAGTTAATCTTGACTTTTGCTGTAGGATTATTTTTATGAATCGTGTATCCTATGGCAGGAACATATTTTCCAGCATACGATTCACCAGCAATAAAAAACTTATTGTTTTGAAGTTTAGGAAATAATTGGAAAAATTGTACAAGAGCTTCATATAAATCATTTCCCACTGCAGTTTCATTTTTTGCATATCCACCATTAGTAAAACTGTAACCTGTTCCCACAGGATTATCAATGTATATAACAGAATGAGTGTTGGTCCACGCATGTCTACGAAGTTTTAAACCGTGTTTGCTTTTGGGTTTAAAAGGTCCGTTTTCTGCGAATAATCCTATAAGAGATGTTGCACCAGGACCTCCTTGAAGCCATAAAATCACTGGGTCTTGTTTGTAATTATTCAGAGATGGAAAAAACCAAAAAAACATATTCGAATTAAATTGTTTATTCACAGTAAAATACCCCGCATAGCTTGTAACATTCTTGAATCCATTGAAATGAACTTGCGAGGCATTTTGAGCTTCTTCAATTTTATTTTGTTCAATTAACGGTGTTAGTATTAATGGCTGACCAGGATCGCCATTATAATTTTCTTGTTTTATTTTAGGATACACATTTGTAAAACAATCGCCACTAGCTATAAATAGACACATTATTAATATAAAAAAATTAAGTAAACTCATTTTTGACGTAGATGTCTTATTTCTACACCATAAACTGTACGTCGTTCTAACTAATAATATAGCGGCAATCAATATTATTAATTCAAACCCTGACTTTTGATGATCTCTGAACCCTTTATCACTTGAACAATGGAGTCACAAAGTTTAGAGAAGTATTTATAAACTCCGATTGAAGTACTTCCATGTAGAGACAACTTCGTCCAAATGAAACATCTAGTATGTAGATTATTCTGAATATTATATGGATTTATATGAATTCTTCTAATCATTAATCTCTACTATTACATCATTACGATTCTTCACTTTCTTATATGAGCATTCAAACTTTTAATTGGTACTCCATATATTTTAAACGAAAATGGCCTACAGTAACACGGAAGTGAATACTGCTTAGACCTAATTAAAATTAAAATGAAATAGTTTAAACATTATTATTTTGGAAATCAATTATAAAATTAAAATGATATATTTGCGACTATTTTCGATTATTAGGGCTAGTTAAATCAATGAAAGAAGTAGTAAAAAGGAAAACAAAAGAAGTT